GCAGCGCGACCCTCCGACCCCGTCTACAGGGGGACCCCACCGAAGTCGCCTCCTCTGTCGAGGTCGAGGTCTTTGCTCCGCCCGAGCTCCGACGGGGAGGCAGAGGCCTGCGAGCCCCCGCCACGTGCACATAGCAAGGCCGCAGGGGGCCCGAGACTGTCCAGATGCACCGCCTCCCGAGGTCCGGGAAGGCTGGCGCCCAGGATGACTGGTAGATGTGGACGCATGCCAGCCTCGGAGTTCGGAGGCAGCTCCTTCGCTACGGTGAGGGCATCGGATCAGGAGCCCTGAGATGAGGCATCCAGGGTCTGGAAGCCGGCGGCACTTCACTCGAGGCCTGGCCGTGGATGTCACCGCCGCTCTCCTCAGATGAGGAACCCTCCGGGGCCTGAAGCCTCCAGGGCACACTCCTTGACGAACGCCCCCACCGCATCACGAACCACATGAAGGGAGGCCGGATGAGCCCCCATTGAACCCAAGATTGGAGACCTGGAAATGGGCACCAACACCAACTCAGGGCGTTGCCTCCACAGGGGGAAGATGATCCTCGATTTCGGTGTTGGTGGCAGTACTTCGGTCACCTTGGACGCCAGAATATTACCACCATCACCGAGATCGGGATCTTCTTCCCTCGGTGGAGGCAAACCGCCGATATTGGTGTTGGTGTCAACCTCTATCGGCGACTCCCAAGGGTGTGATTTGCAAAGGGTGTGGTTTGCAACCGGCACCCTGAGGGACACCCGGGGGGGCGGGCGAGGACCTCGACAGAGCTCTCCGCCGCGCCCCGAGGAGGCCCGACGAGGACGGTGTCGTGGCCCCCCAGGCCCCGACGGTGCCGATCGCAAACCACACCCCGGCGTAACCACACCCTTTGTAGTCGCCGACTCTAGGCCTGCGACAAGACTCAACCCCGGGGTGGGCTGGACCAACCGGCATTGGACGTTCCTGCGCGGGATGCACGGGTGTCAGCGGGGCGGGGCCGCGTTCGGCCGGTCTTCGGCCGTGGATGTGCAGGCGCCGGTGCGACAATGCGGCCTCCCAGGAGCTGCAACCGAAGGCGCGGAATGGCAGGGGATGGGGGAGGGGATGGGCGGCGCGCACCAAGTGAGTGGCGCGAGGGGGGCGGCAAGTCTAAGGTGCTTCTAGGAAAGCGGACGGCCTCCTGGAGGACTCCAGGCTGTTCTAAGACAGCCCCATTTGTTTTGTTGTTTGGTTACTATTATTATCTGCATTCCTCCTATAACTATTATTACTATCATTATTATTGTTATCATTATGTTCATGATTATGGCTGTTACTACTAGTATGTACTCTTATTCTTTGCATTATCATGTTTTGATGTGTTCGTGTTATCATGATTTGTAATTTTACCGTCCTTAGTATTACGACTGCTGTTAATAATCCGTACTGTTATCATTGTTGCTATCAGTGTTGCTGTCCTTGCACGAGAAGAGCCCCCGACTTCTCGGGAGGCCGCTCCCCTCGCGCAGACCCCCATCCGTGCGCGCCGCCCCGCGAGACGCACTTCTGGCGGCTCGGCGCCCAGGGGCGCCCACTTTCGCGCCTCGCGCCTCGCGCCTCGCGCGAACGACTCGGAGGGGGGCAGGAGGAGGAGAGGAGGGGGATGAGGAGGAGGAGGAGGAGGAGGAGGAGGAGGAGGAGGAGGAGGGCGGAGGAGGAGGAGGAGGAGGGGGAGGGGGAGGAGGGGGAGGAGGGGAGGGGAGGAGGGGAGGAGGGGAGGAGGAGGGGGAGGAGGGGGAGGAGGAGGAGGGGGAGGAGGGGGAGGAGGGGGAGGAGGAGGGGGGGGAGGAGGAGGGGGATAAGAGCAGGAGGAGGAGCGGGAGGACCTCGGAGACGAACCGCGGAGCGCGAGGGACGTCGCGCCCTCGAGGGCGCCCGTGGGAAGTCGAGGCGGCCGGCGCCCCTCCAGGCGCTTGGCCCTCGGGGGCCCGCGCCGGCCCCGAGGCCCGTCAGAAGCGAGCCAGGGAGACAGGCGGCAGTCAGCCCGTATGACAAGGAGGCGCGGTGAGGGTGCCAGGGCCTCGGAAGGCCATGTCGACACTCTGCGCTCGGGGCGCGGCCAGGGAAAGCGGCCAAGGATGGGCCGAAGGGGAAGGATGCCAGGGTTAACCTTGGGAAGTCGCTCATCCTGACTATGCGGGTTGATTGCACCTCCACGTGATTGGCCATTGGGGACCCGTGCCGGTCCCAAGGCCCGTCAGAAACGACCCAGGAAGACAGGCTAGCCCGAAGGGAGGGGTCGAGAAGTCGTGGGGACCATGTTTCGGACAACTCGGGCCGCTAGATCTCTGTGAAGGAGGACTATTCCTCAACTCCCTCCTCTTTGGTCCTACCCTCCCTTGGGAGGAGGGGATGCATTGAAGGAAGGAGGAGTACGAGGAGGAGAGAAGCAGGATGGAGGAGAGGAAGGAGGAAGGACGGGGCAAGAATGACGAGGGTCAACAGGCCATGCTTGTGCTGGCAAGACTGCTCAGGGGCCTGCAACATGGTATCAAGGCATTAGCGCCCTCAGGGGACTGAGGATCACCCCAAGGTTGCTCTAGAAAAAGAAATCAAGAGGAGGAGGAAGTTGACGTTGTGGAGCGCTCTGGGGTCAAGGACCAAACCTAACACACCTCGCCCTCGGAATCCGAGGAATCTTCGGGATCCTGGGGGTGCCTTCCTGCCGTCCTTGCCGAGGGCCCTGACCGCGTCAGGGTCGCCCTCCAGGAGGCCGCACGCCAGCAGGACGGGAGAAGGACGAGCCGCAGGACGAACGGGGGAGGGGAGGCGTGAGTGAAGGGAGGGCGCGGGGAGGGCCGAGCGGGAGGAGGGCGGCGGGGAGGGCACGGCCCCGAGGGGCCAACCCTCACAGCCAGGAAGCTGCACCAGGGAACGGACAGCCCTTACTGTTTGGCACCAGGAGAACCTGGGTGGCCCATTCCGAACCCGAAGCGGCCCTTGCTTCAGCGTCTCGACCGTCTGCTCACTGGCAGTCCAGCGTCCAACGTGTAGCAGGCACCGAGTGGAGGGTTCCCATGTCCCTTCGAGTTGTGTGGTGATTGCCAGAAGGAGCCCAAGCCCCAGAGTTCGAGGCCCTCTGGGGCGCTCTTGGGGCTGCTCGCGTGACGGTTTAAAAAGGCCTCGGGAGCGTGGCTGGGAGTCCATACCTTCAACGCTGCCCAGGTGGTCTCACGGCCTGGCCTGGGGCCTTCTTGCGCGCATCCTGGGCCAGTTGTTTGGAAGCCCCCGGGGCCGGCCAGACAGGTCAAGATTGCTGAGGAAGCGTAAGCTCCGATGCGCTATTTGCATACTCGGCCTTCCGGTCCGAAGAGTGCCCGAGATGGTCCAGGAGGCCCCAAACATCGTCTCAAGACGGCCGCCGAGGCCCCCAAGAGGGCTCGCGAGACCCCCAAGACGGCCCCAAGACGGGGGAGCTCGAACTGGCATATGTTTAACCACTTCCCCCTGGATGGCCCCCGAGTTCGCAGAGAGGCCCCGAGGGAGGCCGCGAGAGGCCCTCAGCACACACCCCCGAGGCCCGCAGGATACCTCCAAGAGGCCCCTCAAGAATGCCGCCAGGAAGACAAGGAGGAGGAGGCGGAGGAGGAGGAGGAGGAGGAGGAGGAGAAGGAGGAGGAGGAGGAGGAGGAGATGGAGGAGGAGGAGGAGGAGAAGGAGGAAGAGGAGGAGGAGGAGGAGGAGGAGGAGGGGGAGGAGGAGGAGGAGGAGGAAAAAGTAGAGAAGAAGGAAAAGGGTTGCTGGATGTTTGATGTGAGGGCCTATTGGAATGCTATTGAGGGGGTTCTCGGAAAGCTCTGGGGGGCATGTAGGGGGTTTGTGGGAGCCTTTTGGGGGTCGCTGGAGGGCGTCTTCGAGGCGTCCTGTAGGCCACATGGGGCTTCTGGAAACCCCTGGGGGGGGGAAGCCTCCAAGCCGCTCCCGAGAGGCACCCCAAGAGATCTCCAGACACTGCCGGGAAGGTCTCTCCACGGCTCAAGCACGGGGGCGGGCCACTGGATCTGCAGCCCCGACAATCTGCGGGAGGGGTGCCTGGCGTTCCATGGCAAACAGCGGAAGCCAATCCACAAGAAACCGGTTTATGAATTCAAGAAACTGGTTTTTGAATTCAAAAACCGGGTTTTGAATTCAAAAACCTGATTTGAATTCAAAAACCACAGGGGCCATGGACCTCAGGGCGTCCCAGAGACCCCAGGGCGTCCATGAGACCCTGAGACCCCAGGGCGTCCATGGACTTTCGGTGTGGGAACCGTCACGCATTCCACAGCAGAACCATCGAAACCCAAGAAACCCTGGGCACCCTGGAGGCAACCAGGGTGTTTCTTGGCATGGGTCACCACTGTGGTCTGCGGGAGGGGTGCCTGGCGTTCCATGGTATAGCTTCTTTTAGCCCTGCCAACCAACAAAAGCTACCAGTGCACGCCGCCCTCGCGCAAGGCTACGTGGCCTCCCAAGTATACTCAAGATACCTCAACCAGGTCCCCAGATGACCAACATTATTCCAATTTGCCCCCCCGGACGCCCCAAGAAGACTCCAAGATGTTCCCCAGGAGATTCTCGAGATGCACACGTACTTGATTTCTCGATCCTGATACCCCAAACGACAAGCAACACGCAGCCAACGACCATGGCTGGACAGTGGGTCGACATTCCACCACTCTTCAAAAGGCAGGGGGCAGCGGTGACTCGCTGGAGACGCCTTCGATACATATACGTATATACACGCACACACACATACACGTGCATGTTGTTCGACGTCCTCAACCAATTTCCTGGTCCCACGGCCTGATGAAAAGCTAGCCTTAGGGAGGGGTCCAGGTTCCCAGATCCTCAGGCAATCCACAGTTGATACAACACGACATCATAGGTCGGCAGATCCTCCTGGCACTGCGATCCTGATCCTCCTCCTCGTGCTCCTCTCCCGGCTGCTAATGCTGCCATGTGCTACCATGCGCTGCTGATGCTTGCAGAAGCAGGTCCGGGTCGTCCATCTCGTCGGACCCGACCCAGCCCACCGGCTTGACGAGGAGCTCCTTGGGCACGTGGACAGAAAGGATTCTCAGGGAAATGAAGAGAACGGCCCAAGAAACCGAACCTGACCGACCACCTCAGGACCCAAAGAGCGGGATGGTGAATGGAGGAAGAACACATGAGGAAGAGGTGGAGGAGGAGGAGGAGCGGATGGGATCTATCAGAGAAACTGGGAGGGGGAGGATGCATGTGGAGGAGGACTCCAGCATGGTGTAGCACGCTAGTGCTGTCATTCCACTCGCATGCATATGATCGGTGGTACCGTTCCTTGACCTTCAGTCGTTGAACAGCAGATCGCACATTGCAGGAGGACGAAAAGGCATTTGTTGTTTTATGTACGGCAACCACTGGAATGTCTCCTCGGGCCCGAAGCACACCACATGGTTGAGGCGAGTCACGGGGAAGGAGAGGACGGAGGAAGAGGACGAGGACGCTGAGGAGGGGGAGGACGAGACCCTTTCCTCCACGGTTTGACGAGGGAGGAGAGGCAGGATGACGAGTCGCTCTCGCTATCGAAAGCCGCGAAGCCACGTGCCAGGCAGCGGCGGGGCGCCGGGGGGCTGGTGTCTCCCTTCTGCGCCCGCGCCGGGCGCCCTGGGGCCTGCCGGCCGCCCACAGCCGCCGCCATCACCTCGTACAGCGCGTCCTCTTCGCCGTCCTCCGACGCGCCCTGGTCGTTCGGCAGCGCCGAGACGCCGCCGCAGGCGGTGCCGAGCGACGCCGCCAACTGCCTCTCGGGCCGCGAAGGCCGCCTCACGCCAGGCGCGGCAGGCTGCGCGAAGGGCGGGGCACCGTGGCTCGGCTGCCAGAACGCCAGCCTGCACTGCCCACTGATGCACGGTGACGCCGGCGACGGGCACTGCGGCGCATCCGCCGAAGAGCGGCCACACCGCGGCAACGCAGCAGCCGCACCAGTGATAGACGAGCGCGTACCACTACTCGTAAAGAAACTACTCGCACATGCCCTTGATCCACCGTGCGGGATCCACGATGCATCACATCGAAGCAGACAGGTTTTTGTCTGACGTTTGCGAGTAGGCACTTTGCGAGTAGTGGAGCGCGCTCGGTGAAGTGACATCCACACGGCAGCTCCCAAGTCATCCGATGGCTCGCCGGCGCCGCACAATTTCGAAGCGCGCCGATCCAAGCTGGGCGGCGGCCGCCGATCGCGCCCGCCCGCCTTCGCCCAGCCGAAATCTCTTGAGCCAGAGTGGCTACGAAGGAGGAGGCGGAGGAGCAGTAGGATGAAGCGGATGGATGGATGGAGTCCCCCCGGCGGGGCGGCATGCGCAGCCCTCGGGCGGGGGGTTCTTTCAGCAGGGGGCCGCGAGCCTGGCGGCGAACGCTGGCGACCCTGCATCGGCCAGGGGGGGGCTCTCTGCTGCAACCAGCACCTGGTCAGCGGCTGGAGGAGCGGCGCCGCCTGGCCGCCCGGATGGGGGAGGTGCCAAACGGGGGCCTCCGTTCCAAGGTACGGTCGCCCGGCGCTTGGGGCCCTGCCCGACACCCCAACCGCTGCACCTGTCAGCGCACGGCGAGGGGACGCAAGTGCGAGACTCCGGCAATGGAGGGGAGGAGGGAGCCACCCCGGGGAGGGGGAGAAGGCGCCCCAAACCTGGGCCACACCCGAACCAGGCCTATCCCAAGGCCGCTCAGCACATTGTCGAGGACGGGAACACAACGACATACAAGAACTGCCGGAGGTCCGCGCGGATTTCCTGGATCGTCGCTGGACCCTCCATGGCACGCGGAAAGCGCCAAGGGTGGCACCAGAAGCTCTGCCGGGAGGGCTCGGCGCCGATCCAAGAAATTCGCGCGGACGTGCGAAAGTTCGAAGTAGGCCGTGATTTCTTCCTCGACTCATCGCCAGGGGCATGGAGGGCAGGAGGGAGGCCCAGACGATTTTTGTCACCTGCGCCCCAGAAGGCTGCCGCCGCCTCCTCGAGCGTCCGCGCCAGGGACGCCGCCTACGGGTAGCCGGGCTCGCTGGGAACGACACTACGAATTGCCTGGGGCCGCGGTTTCGCGGGACGCTGGCGCGAGCTGCCGAGAGCGTGGAGAGGAGGAGGAGGAGGCGGAGGAGGAGGGCGGAAGCCATACGGCCGAGGAGGGGCTGGGACCGTCGCGGCTTCGTTCGTCGTCGGTCGCCCCTTCGGTCGTGGCTCGCGCGCCGCGGAGCCATCAAAGAGAAGATAAAGAGGCGCCGCAGCCGCGGCGGTCACCCCGACCGCCACGCCCAGGACCAAGGAAGAAGCCTGGCACCGCCGCGCCAGGACCCAAAGAGGACAGGATAGGCTGCTGATAAGACTGGCGGCTGCTGCCAGCAGGCTGAAGCAGCACCACAGCGCGCAGCAGCCCCAGCGCCACCAGCAGCACGCCATGACGCAGAACTGGAAGCAGCAGCGCGACGCCTCGAGGGAAAGGTGGTCAGGAGCAGGGACCACACACCTCGAGGCGTCGCGGCGCGGCCCTGGGAAAAGGTGGACAGGAGCAGGGTCCACAGCCCAGGCGCAGCACCAGCGCAGGCGCAGCAGCAGTGCCAGTGACTGGACTGGTGACTACGGAGCCATCGGAGGGCGACCCTGGGAGTGGGCCCTTGGGGATGGCCAGCAGCACAACTCGCAGAGGAGGCAGCACAGCCAGCAGCAGCAGCAGCAGCAGCCTCAGACCCACAAGCACCACCACCAGCCAGCCCACCACCAGCACCAGCAAAAGCACCCACAGCACCAGCAGCGAAGCGACAGCGACCAGCACTGGAAGCACAGTGCGCCATGGAGGAGCGCCTCAGCCAGAAGGAGGAGCAGCAGGCGCAGAAGAAGGGACCAGCACGACACTCCAGCCTCAGCCTACATCGGCAGCTTCCAGTACAGCCCTCAGCAAAAGGCAGTCCTGGACAGCATCACGCCAGTCTCCTTCGCTGTCGCGATGGAACATGAGAGCTGGTCCGCACCACCAGACGACGAGGAGATGCGGTTCGTGTGGTACAAGACGAAGTGCCACAGGTTGGGACGCCTCTCCGAGAACATTGCTGGCGCTAGGTTGGCGGGTTTGTGCACATCCAGCCTCGAGCAGGAAGCGGCGATCACCGCCACGAACATCTCCTTCGTTTTGCCCAACAAAGAGCGCATGAAGCAGCTCAGGGCTACGCTGGAAAAGCTGGAGGAGGAGCACGCCGAGATGGAGAAGCGGCTCAGCAAGATGCTCGACCAGGAGGCGGCGGCCGCCAGAACCATCAGGGTCTACAAGACCCTGCTGAGGGAAACTAGAGATCAGATGGCAAAGACAGCGGGTGTGAAGGAGGAATCGTCAGAGGAGGAGGGGAGCCAGGACCCCACCAGAGGACGCACGCCACACCCGGCCGCGAGGAGGAGGCGCGACCCAGCTGCAGCACTAGCGGCACCAGCCACAGCTCAGCCAGGCACAGCAGCGAGTGCCTCCTCGGGACCAGCAACAACTGCACGATCAGCCCCAGCAGCACCAGACGAGATCAAAGACGCCATCAGGAAACTGACCGAGAGGCTCGACTCGCAGCAGAAAAAGGAACAGCAGCAAAGTGACCTGCTGGCACAGGCAGAGCTTAAGCACAAAAGTGAGCTGAAGGCCTACGAGCAGACCATGGCGCAAAAGATGTTCCACACGACCGAAGCGCAGCTGGCCAAGCAGGAGGAGGAGGAGGAAGCGAAAGCATACGAGGCACAGAGAGGCAGCCAGAGGACACAGGAGGAAAGGGCCAAAGGGATGCTCGTGGACTTGCAAATGCACCTCGAGTTGGAAAAGAAGACACTACGCGAGGAGATGCACAAGGAAGACCAGAGAAGAGCAGCCATCTACACGCAGCAGGTCCAGAAGGCCAGGCAGGAGGAGCAGGCTGTGAGACAGATGGCGGCTCAGGAGGCCCAGTGGTGCAAGATGGCGCAGGAGCACAATGAAAAGGCGACGCAGGAGATGGCGGAGGCGGAATACCAGGAGCGATGCGCCCGGCGCAGCGCTTACAAGGAGGAGGAGCTGCGGATCGCAGTGAACTACCAGCAGATGGCCTACGAGCACCAGGAAGAGGCCAACAGGCGCGAAGCGATGCGGGTCGTCCTGAACCTGGAGCACGCAGCCATCCAGGCGAAGGCATGCGAGATGCAGCACGAGCAGGAAAAGTACTTGGAGCGCGTCGGGGAGCACCAGGAGGCGGTGGACAAAGCTCAAAGGATGGAGGAGGTGGCACTGCAGCGACAAGCAGCAGCCACGAGCGAGCTCCAGGCACTACAGCACCAGCAGGAGTTGGAGAACCACGTGTCTCAGCAGTACCACAGCACTCTGCAGCACCAGCACCAGCAGGAGATGCAGGCCGCGGTGCAGCACTACGCCCACATCCAGTACATGAGCGACGCACAGAGGCAGCAGCAACTACAAGACCTCCAACGCGCACATGATATGCAAACGGCAGGACTCCAGAACGCCCTACGGGACGCCTGGGGAGCAGGAGGACAAGTGGATGAGGACCTGCTACTCGACATGACGGACGACCTCATGGAAGACCCAGTCACGAGTGAGCGCGACCAAGGCATGGCGGAGCAGGAGGGCACGTACCAGAGGGAGCAACTGGAGGCAGACCTACTCCGGCTTTTACCTAGCCAGTACGAACTCCCACATCCCGAACTACCGCCGTACCTCGAGGAGCTGGCCGAGGTGGGATTTGGAGAGAGGTCTCATACATCGTCGATGCCAACGCCAGAGGAGCCTACCCTCTCGTCGTGCGGCGACCTCAGCTTTCAGGACCTGAGCTTCGTGCCGAGGACGCCCGCCGAAGAGCGTCCGCTACCGCCACCACCACCTCAGCAGCGCCCGCACATCGAGGAGCACAACAGCGTCGGCCCATTCCTGCACACGGGGCTGCTCGACGTACGGGCGAACAGTGACTGCATCCCAATTGGCGAATCCGACGACGCTGACTTGCAGGACGAAGAGACGAAGATCTGCCAAGGCCTGCGCGAGGAGAAGGAGGACGAAG